TTTAATCCATCCAGTCGAATATCTCGAAAATCAAGTTCGGGAGAGAAAAATGTTTCAGACAAAAGTTTTCGGACTTCGAGGGGGACATAAGATGATAACATTGGTTTGACCCTGAGTGGCGTCGTCAAGGTCAGGACAAGGTCACTTTAAATTTTTTAAATAGAACCACCCATTTTTCATTACATATTCTTATAGCACACCTCGAGAGCTTTCCAAAACGCTATAATAAAGTTATTTTTCAATATATACTTTTCAAATTATGAAGATTGAAAGTTACAGTACCGTCGACATTAGTATTATCCAAGGTGTCCGATAAATGGACACCTCGAGCATATCTCGAGCATACCTCGAGAGCTTTCCAAAACACTATTTCATTAAATATCTTTTAAGTTAAAAGGCTTCAAAGTTACAATATTGTTGGCATTAGCATTGATATCGAAGGTTTTGGCCGACGGCTAAAACTTTTTGAATGTTGTTCAGGACCATCACCTTGACAACATTTGTCAAAGTCAAGATGATTGGAAGTTGTTTCTCGTATTTTCATTATTTCAATTTTTACTGTAAAAATGAAAATAATTTAAAAGAATGAGGTAACATGTGCGGCTCGATTAATCCCAAAAAGTCATATGAAGGTCACGATGCTTCATGGCCACAAAGAAGCACACGTGCACTCCGAGTCAAAATTGCATATGTCCAGCCGAAAATCGTCTTACTCCAGGATACCAAAAAGCATGTTCCTATCGCTGGCTAACTGGAGATGCAGCTGCCACAGTCTAGTGTCTTGCTATCTCCATCTTCACCTCGTCTTCCTAGAACCGCCTATCACGTGCGCGATGCACAACTGAGGGGGATTCGGGAATATTATTTTCATTTTTATAATAAAAATTGAAATAATGAAAATACAAGGAACAACCTCCAATCGTCTTGATCTTGACAAATGTTGGCAGGGTGATGGCCCTGAAAACATTCAAAAAGTTTTAGCCGTCGGTCGAACACCTTGGATGTTCCAATGTTAATGCCAACAATATTGTAACTTTGAAGCCTTTTAACTCGAAAGATATTTAATAAAATAGTGTTTTGGAAAGTACTGCTGTGCTCGAAGTGTTCGTCTATCGAACACTTTGAATAATGTGATATGCCGACGGTACTGTAACTTTCAAGCTTCATAATTTGAAAAGTATTTATTGAAAAATAAATTTATTATAGCGTTTTGGAAAGCTCTGGAGATGTGCTACAAGAATATGTAATGAAAAATGAGGGTAAAATTTCCATTTAAAAAATTCAAAGTGATTTTGTCCTAATCTTGACGACGCCACTCAGGGTCAAACCAATGTTATCATCTTATGTTCCCCTCGAAGTCCCAAAACTTTTGTCTAAAACATTGTTTGCCTAAAATGCACTGTTCAACAGATATTTGAAGTAATTGATTAAAATGAAACACCCTGTACGCACGCACGCACACGCACACCCACTTATACAAGAATAATACATAATATTGAGAACTAACATGGAGACATGGCCTAGGGTTTTATAGCCGCCATATTGGATATATAACGGCCATAACCCCCTAAGTATTGCGAAAATCTGTGGCAAAAATATGAGTTTATTGAAAAATCTCAAAATGTTAATAACAATAAAAGAAATTTATTCTTATGCCCAAACAAATCCTCAGCTCAGGTTCGCGGACACTGATTGTAGGGTTTAGGATAATTTATTTTTTTTGCCACCAGATATAGTGCATATGTCAGTTCCAGAGTCCCTAGAAGGGAGAGTCTGGCCATTCACCGCTCATTGCTCTTATTAGTCAATCCCATGTTCCCTCAAAATGGCGTCACCAATCACATAACACAGAAATGGCATATATAGCACATGATCCACTAGAAACTATAAATGTATTGTATATGTATGTATGCATGTGTACATGAGCCACATTTACAGGCGTCATTTTGTGGGGCATGGCCAGACTCTCCCTTCTAGGGATTCTAGTCAGTTCCCAATAAAGATTCTTACCGAAGATGAACAACGCTCCCACTTGTTTCAACCATTGGATTTCGTTTATAGTGCTCTATTAAATCACTGAGACTATCAAATTTGTGACCACCACCTACATCGTATTTGTTATCCTGCAATATTAGTTTTATTTGCTTAAATTGATTGATAATATAGCTAAATGTTTATTTTAATTATCTATACATATATACATGCATACGCATGTATATAGTGTTCCATAATCGATACAACTAAAATAAGTAATAATTGTGTATATAAAAATAAAACTTTTTACAATACCATATTTTTCAAATAATTAATTGTAAAAATATATTTGTATATTTATACTTTTCAAGTTAAATAATCTTCAATCTTATTTCATAAATTATTGATAAATTATTGAAGTCGTCTAAACAAGCAATTACAATCATAAATAAAAATGTGTATACAGGGTGTCTCAAAAAGGTCGGGACACCTAAATATCTCGGGAAATATAAGTTTTACAGAAAAGTGTTTCAGACAAAAGTTATATGGTTTAAAAATATCTATTTACTGATCCTATCAGTTTGACCTTGGGTTGCGTAGCCAAGGTCAGATCAAGGTTAGATTGATTTTCTTAAATGGAA